TCCTGCACAAAGCAATGGAGTATACCATGGCAATCCAACACACCCCACATGTTGTCCCACTTGTTCGCTCTTCCCGACGCGCTACGCACGCTGGACCTGTCACGATGTCGCTCAGCGGAAGTCGACATGAGGGACCGCCACGTCATCTATGTTGCGTGTGGCTAGCTTTAGTCGTTTAGTTAGTCGAAACAAGGTCCTTAGTTGATGTATCGGACCGACCTTGCAGGGCCGGAAGAATGCAATCGCTTTCCGATTTGCAAGCTTCCCCGCAAGACGGGCCCCGCTACCACCCTCGGTGCGCTCGTGGCGCTCTCCGCGCAAAAATTATGATTCAATTAAAAGATAGAGAAAGATACCACCTTCCAGCATCGGGTGCCAGCGGCATGCCAACCCGGGGATCGAAGTCTGTGCGAGTCGCTCGTTCGTTGGGACCTTGCGCTCAGCGCAGTAACTCTCGTACGCGCCAAAGAGCTGGTCGACGGCCTTGTAGTCGGCAGCCGACTACGAGGCCGTCGCTGCTCTGCGGTTATATTAAAAATTCTAATTCAACTGCAGAGCAGCGAAATGACAAACTTAAATCTCAAACTCAAACTAAATGACCATGATTCGCATCGGCGCTGTTTTTTAACGGTGCTGCAGATGCGTCCTTTCGTCGCGAAGCCCTCGATTGGCGGCAAATTCATTCTCTGCCTATATTAAATATAGGCAGAGATGGACAGCAATTTTTGCTCTCTTGGTCCATCGGTCGCAAGTTCGAGGTCGCTTGGCGGATCCGGATAATGCATTGCGCGGGTTGTGGGAAAATCAGCCAATGAAAAACGGGGAGAATGTAGACACTGATCATTGTGCAACATGTTTGGGCTATGGCAGACGACGGAGACAGCGGAGCAGAAGGAGGCGAAGGTGAAGGCGGCGATGGAGACGAAGACGAAGGAGGTACTCTGATGACGACACCAATGCGATGCTCATGCGACCTTATAGGAAACGCTTCTCCGAGCTGCAGGAGATGGCAACTTGGCCACCGTCCGCTCCTCGTTCAACGACGGCGTCAACATCAACTGCAAAGAGAGCGTACGTAGCTCTATCAATCAACCGTAAATATGTAGTCTATATTGCGTAGGCTGGTTGGACGCCACTGCACTATGCTGCTCGTTACGGTCATTTCGAGATCGTCCGGTTTTTGCTGGAAAGAGGCGCCGAGATCGACGCCAGCAACAACGTACGTTTTGTGTTTCGAGAATTTTGCGAGAATTTGCGTCTTTCCTTCACTCACAAATGTCACATATTGCGTCTGCGTAGTATCTCAACACGCCACTGCACTATGCCTCGCAAAACAATAAAGTGGAGATCGTTCGTCTCCTCTTGGCACATAGCGCCAACGTCAATGCGACAAATTACGTACGTTTGCACGAAAATTCTCGGAATATTCCTTAGCCTTTGGACATACTGTACAGTGGATCAAAATGCCGCGCACGCTCGCGGGCGAAGAAGGCCACGTCCAAGTCCAAGAGCTTTTGCGCAAGCACCCAGAAACGATCCAGGTACGTTGTACAA